TCGAATTTAAGGATTTAGACCTATTAGATTTAATAACTTTATACTCTAGAATAATACGATTCAATTTTAGTCCAGATGCTCGAAGAGCGCCCCATAGGGCCTGGATTCTCCAACCATCTCTTCAAGAGTGTTATATTCGCCATATTTTGTGGGGGTATTTGTGATGGGAATGAGTGAGATGTACATGTATATTGGTTGTAGTAAGATATAATGATAGAACCAGGTTTATTTTTCGTGAAAAAATAACGATTCATATAATTATTTGAGTCTTTGTTCCACGAGATTAATTTGTGATACCGCTAAATTATTTTCTCACTATATAGATTATGGAATTAATAAAACTGTATATAGCTTTACCGATAAGAAAAAATACAAATGAGACTCAAAATGATATGAATGAGGAGAGTTTATTGTTCTTTATCAGTAACAATATCAAAATTCATATGTCACGGAACTTGAGATCTTCACCATTTCCGAGATCGCCAAAATTTGTCTTATTTTTTATTCTACAAAAGCGATCGTCATTCTGAAAGGTTTAATTCCCATAAAAGGTGAAATATATTCAGTTCTTGGCGCTTGTGATTCTAATAGAATTGCTTTACGAAGAAAGGATCTGGCAAATGGTTGGGGTGACATAATTACTAATCATGTATTTTTTTTTCTAGCGAGTAGTGAATGAAGCGATATAAATAAACTGGATTTGTGAGGCATCATTTCTTATCTTTTCGCAATTTTTATAAGGTAACGTGTTTGGTTTGCTGGTGGTGTTCATTATGCATTATTTGCAATAAAGACTCTATCCATTGTAAATGAATTTTTACTTATCTAGGAAACGTGAAAATGGCCAACAATATCACTCTCAATTGTATCGTTATTCTTAATAACCCACGTAATCAACTTTCAGCCAATATTGTTTCCCTCATAATTATGATTCCCAGAAATGAAACAGTCGATGACCTCCAAACCGCAATTCAGAATAAGTTAGGATCTAACATTCCTCTTGATATTCGTCAAATTTGTCATCCTGGACCTGTAGATGAAAGACGTATGCGATCACCAGCTCTAATCTCTAGTTTTTTCAATGGGGATCCTCCTGAAAATGTATATCACATCGTCGCATACACAGTTAATGGATAATATTTTTTTTTATTTACATCTGCAGTATGTAACTGCGATATATATTTTTTTTATTTTATGTTGTTATTTCGGTAACATTTTTTATATATCAATAAAGTAAGGTTCTATGTAACCATTTGTCTCGATGTGGATGTCCATGCTTTATTTTCATCAAAATCATGTGTGCGTGAACAATTGTTCACACCAATCACTTTAGCTAGAAAAAAAATTGAATGTGTCTCAATACTTTGATATAATACGACATTATACATAAGATATTAATATGTCTGGCAAATCTAAAAACAACAGACGTAAGACTCAAGGTAGATTCACCGATAATCCTAAGCAGTATTTTCAATTTAAAAACCAGGATAAGTACATACATAGAAAAGACGAAGGTTTTATAACTATCATAAATAGGAATACAGAAGACGTAAAGGCGATTTTTGATTATGTAGAATTATGCAGATATTTGGAGGTAAATAATCTCGATTCAAATATTCTCAGCATGTAGTGGAAAATGTGTAATAATTAGCTTATTTTTTCGAATTTATGTATTATTATTATTGGATTTATGAAAAACTCGACTACCAGGTCGGCTTTATTAATACAGAGATAAATAACAGTATAATGTAATGTTTTTCTATCCTTACCTTATGGTGATTGTGGTGTGACTAAGGTTGTGGGCGAAACCTCTTAATGACTGTCGAAACTCTGTCGAAACTCTAATGAACAATTAATGTGTAACCTGTCGAAACTCTGATGATTGGCGAAAACCCCAAATGCGAAACTCTGCCGAAACTCTAATAAACAATTAATGTGTAACCTGTCGAAACTCTGTCGATTGATTTCTGGAGGAGTTTCTCCCGCAACCTTAGGTGTGACTAACTCTCCTCCATAAAGGGGTGCATCTTCCAGAGAATGTGGAGAGCAAAAAGCCATGTTATATAAATACCCATCAACTTTTTCCACAGTCTTATTAATGATACTGATATGATTCCGCAGGGTTGCCTACGTATTAAATAATTCTATTAATTACCAAGACTTTGTTCATCCAACTCTCACATATTCTGTCAAAAGATGATAGGATTACCCTCAACTTTCATAATTCATTCACAAATCCAGCAAGCGAAGACTGGCCTCGATTCATAGGGATTTGTACTGATCCAAGAAGCTGAACAAAGTAGAAAGCTCCAAATGGCATAGTCATAACCCAACACGCCATGGTCCCTCCTAAAAGTAGGAAAGGTTATTTATAAGTGGAAAAAAAATCAATTGCGACATTACATACCAGCAACTTGGATACCAAATACTGGAACTCTGTTAAAATCTTCTTCCAGGTCCTTCATTTCCCCACCTCTTCCTCTAGTGAGCTTCCTCAATAACTGCACGTGAGTGTCTTTCATAAGCTTTATCAGCTTATCCCAGTCATCACAGATCTTTTTATCAGTCGGAAGAACACGCAAAGCCTCCATAAGACATACTTCCACATCACCAGCATTAATCGAAGACTTCACCCAAAAATCAGGTTTGTGACTGACTCTGAGTTCCCCAGAATCATCCATCCATCGTTGAGAAGCCTCCGAAACTTCTTCAGCCCTATTATGACACATGCAAAGTTTGTTATAGAATTTCATAAATTTTTTACTAAGGCTAGACATTATTTAGAACCTTACCAGATAATTTTAAGTTTGGTATTTTCGTAGCAGAACAATGGGTCGAGAAAGTTGGACACTATTCGAACGATATATGTTCCCTCCGTATATTCAGCCTTGTTGTCATTCATATAGTAGCACCAGATATGCCGGCTGTAAAAATATGGAGATTAGATGTTAGTTGATTATCGATACAGAGGAGCTCCAATTACCTACATTGAGTCTACGATTTTATGCATTATGCATATATCTTCAAATTCTTCGTTGTCTCCTTCAAAATCCATTGGTATAGGTGGGAGCGAAACCATCATTCCCCTTTTGTTTAGGCTCTTGGATTTTTCTAAGAGAAGTTTAACTAATTCAGAAACAGCAGGACTCATTTCAAATTGATTGTATGGCAAACGTATGATTTCCCTTAAGTCCTTCTTTTGCTCTTTTAATAATTTTCCAAAAATTATATTGGAATCTCAATCAACAACAAAAGATTTCTTTAACTTATTTAATAAAAACAAATGGGTTGATTCTCCTTCTTGTATTATTTTATCCTATAAAAGTATTGAATAAAAAAAGTAAAAAACTTGAACCATCTAAAAAAAGATATCTATATTACCAATCGTTCTCCAATTTTTTGTTTGTTTGAAGAAACAGGGTTGATATCCATCAGGGTTACGAGTTTGAGGGAAATCTGAAATACATTGACGTTTGTAATGGGTAAATATATCACCAAACCGAAATCACAATAGTCTAAACCAACCATTGATCCTATAGCCTCGACCGTTGTTATATATTGCGTCCTCTGTTTGTTCTTTAAAAAAATAAGAGATTAAATCTTTGAAAAAATATATATATAATTTATCATTTTATATCCCATTCATCAGACTTAAAATTTCATACACCACAAAATAGCCAAATCTCAGATGTGAATCAATAGTATGAAATTTTATTTATCCTTTTATATCACATCAATGAGATTCCCAAATTTCTCACTACAAATTGACCAACTGGGCCCGAATCTCAGATGTGAGTCGGTAGTGTGAAATTATTCAATATAATTTGTTGTTAGAATCTCATTGATCGGACTTCCAAATCTCTCACATTACAAATTAACCAACTGGGCCCCAAATCTCACACATTGCAAGTTAACCAACCAGGGCCCAAATCTCAGATGAGTGAAATTTGTTTCTCAATTATCATCAGATACTATGGATGAAGCAATATCATTCAAACAATTATACTCACATCGGGTATCTTTTCAAATTGCCCATAAGTTTCTCATAAGATTGTACTAGAAGATTGTCGCAAAGCCTTTTTGCAAACCAGCTTATATATTTCGAACATGTTGCTCATGCAACCATAGCGCTCCCCATTTACATTGATTGTATAGCCAAACCATGAGGCGAACCGCACTTTCCTGGTTTTATCACAATTAGTCGTCAAATACTCAACTCCGAAATCATTCCAACCGAGATACTTATATTTCTGCTCCATTATGAATGTGGTTTAGAAATAAAATTGCAAAAATAATAAATGTCAAGTTAATACGATATACAAATAATCAATATAAAAGCAATGAATATCCATAAATTCAATATACTGCCCTTTTAAAACGTTTCCTTTCATGTCTTCTTTTGGATCTATAGAATGAGTATATAGCATTTACGCCAAGGAATTCCACAAATAATTCATGCATAGCATAGTGGTTGTTTAATGAATGGTGTTACCCATAACAACACCTGACGTATTTTGAGTACTTTAAACAATTATGAATTTACGTCATACAACATAAATTAAATTTATCACAGTGATCATCAAATTGTGACATAAATAGAATTTCCACTATGCTGTGAATTGATCGATGTGTACACATTAATTATTTATCCTATTGGAACAGGAGAGACCATCCTATATAAGGAATGGATTTTCACAATTGATTACAAGGGTATCATGTAGCCCATTCTTGCAATAAATCATGTGTAAATAATTACACAAACTTGAAGCCTTACACTTTGTTGTCATCATAATTATCGTTCATATTATTGTTATTAATGTTGTTGTTGTTATGATCATTGGCTGTTTTATTTTGGTTAACAACTGAAGGTTCTAAAACATCTTCTGTGATTGTTGCTGATGGAGGGAGCAGAGGTGGACAATGAAGGTTAGGAAATTTTACATTGATGGATGACCAACAATTTTGAGTTTTTTTAATTACTGTGGGCCAGGAATCACGTAATTGTGAATGATTGGATGAGGATGAAACTGAAGTGGTGCTGAAGGAACTTTTTGTATCTGGTATATTCTGAAAATATTCACTTTGAAATTCATTAGCAGTCATAGATTGTGGTGGTGACATACAATGATAAAAATTAATGTTGCTATTTGGAGTAACTGGGTAATTAGTATCAAATTCCAAACTATTTATCGTATTAGAAATATGTGGGGGATTTGGAATTTGTTGCCGAGTATAATTATACTGTTGTTGTTGTTGTTGTTGCTGCTGCTGTTGCTGCTGCTGATACGGTTGCTGCTGATGATAATGTTGTTGATGTTGCTGCTGATGTTGATGCTGTTGATATTCATTAGAAAATACTTTTTTAAGAGCAATCCCAATAACTTCTGAAGATAAACCTAATTCTGAAGATAATGCATCAAGTTTATCTTCTGGAATTTTTAATGCTTTATAGTTATTACTGTTTTTAGGAATTAATGAATTATTGACTTGATTGTAATTATAATTATAATTATTAATGTCATAATTAACAACAGCAGAATTACTATTTGGGAATGAGAGAGGCATTTTCTGTTGGAATTGAGCTAATTTTTTGATATTTTCTTTTTCAATGGTGCATTTTTGATGAGCATCACCAACTGAGTCTGAGTCATAGCTTGCATTTTGTTGTTCTGTGGCAAATTGATAAACAAAAGAATTGGTAATAGAAGGTGTTCCATTGAAAACTATTTTCTCAAGTTTTGGTGAAGATTTGACAAACCAGTGCACAGTTTCTGGAATAAATTGACCACATGAGTCTATAATAATGTGGGTAAGTGAAGAATTGGTTTTACGACCAAGATATTTAAGAGACATATCTGTGACGTTTTTGCATTCAATTAGGTCTAATACATAAAGATTATTTTCATTTTTTGCAATACTGTTGATCGAGTTATTTGTAATATGTGGACATTTTGAAAGTCCAATTTTCTCCAAATGTTTACAGTGCACAGTGATTGCTGAAATTGCGTCATCATTAATTGGTAAGTTTTCAAGCGTGATAATACGCAGGTTGTGACAAACTGGTCTTAACCATTCTATTTCATTTGACAGATTATCAACTTCTTGTAAGCACCTGAGATCAAAATTTATTAATTCTTTCAGATACATTACAACTTTAAATGATTTTATTGTGAGTGTTTCACCCAATAATTGAAGATTTTGCAGTTTAGGATTTTTTTCTGCAAAATGTTCTATATTTTTATCAGTAAGGTTGGAACAATTTTGTAATACTAAATTATTGAGTTTTGTTAATTTTGTTGCTAATATATCAAACCCTTTTTCAGATATTGCCTTTGTTGAAAGTTTAAGAGAGACTAGCGATGGGCATTTGATTGCTAATGCTTCTGCAAAATTATCAGAAAGATTAAAATCGCCATCCAAATCCAATACAAGAAGATTAGGTATACAACTCATTAGTGAATTGAATGCTTTATAAGTCAATTGACTATTGCCAACAACTAGGATTTCTTTAAGTTCCGGGCAATATTGTGATAAAGATTGTACGTGATGATCTGTTAGATTCCATCCATACACTTTGATCCTATGTAATTTTTCACATAGTTCAACGAGACTTGTTATAAAGGTTGGTTTTGATAAAACATATCTTGACATTGTTTTGTGTACAGGATGTTCAGAGCTCAAAACTGGCGCAAAAGAATTTGTGACGCTTTCATCTGGAGCACATAGGTTGAGAACGCGTACTCTTAAAGCACGTTGTTTTGATTGTTTGACCGCACGGAGAAAGGAGTCAAGAGAATCTGGCGTTTTGAAAATTGGCTCTGACCATAATACATTCATAGCAGTTGGAGACCATGTCTTATTAACCAAACATAAATTGTATCGATCTCGTGAATCTAAAAATTCCGCTATGCGTTTAATGAGTTTGGATTGTAACCTGAGAGCCAGATTAGGTTCTAAAACCTCTTTTTCTTCGAGATCTGTTAGCCAGTTACTCGTCATTATATTTTATTTGCAAAGATTAATTATTAATTATTCCAAGTATTCTATTCTTTATGTTATTTTTTTTTCGAAAAAAAAATTTTTTTATATAAAAAATAAAAAAAAAAGGATAAAAACTAATACTAATACTAATATTATTTATTTATTTATGTAATTTGGTCATAACTAGTGAAGAAATTGCAGGGGGTCCGAATATACTTTTTAATATTAATGTTGTTTATTACGTATACACTAATACTAATACATCTATTTAATTTTTTTGATGATCTTACCAAAAAGAAAATCATAAGAAGACCCTGAATACGCCACACGTCTATTATGAACAAAAATGGATAAATAGTGTAGTTCTTTCTAAATATGATAATTTACATATGACGAAGTTTTAAGCAAAGTGCCTCGAAAAGTATATAAATTTGACTGTGCCATATATACAAATTTGGCCAAAACTTACATAGGATTTAATAATAAATATTTTACATTATAGAATTATTCTTTTGCATTTACTATATGGGGCATGCTGCAATAAAACCAGACAAAGTGAACATTTGTATTACTGAGAATTTCAGGATCAAAGTTTAGTCATTTGTAATGTGATTATAATTAACAATTTTATAATGTCCCATTTTCTATCTTGAGTGATATATAGAATTGACCCCATATAAAAATAATAAAAATTTGCTAGAATTAAATAATATTTGTTGTTATTTTTTATTTGTATATTAAAAAGGTGGTGGTGATTATTAACCTGTTGCTTGCTACTCTACTCTATTTATATAGATAAAAAATAAACATGACTTAGCTTTTTGTTGTTATTAATACTTGTACATGAATACCTGATTATTCAATACATTTTATGTTGTAATTGATTTACTTTGTAGTCATATACAACGTCTTGTGTAGTACATCAATAATAAGGGATTGATTCTTGTCAACCATATACACATGTAAAAAAAATTTGTGTATATATGTACACCCATTAATTTTTTTTAAAAAAAAATGTATACATCCATTAATTTAAATAAAAAAATGCCCAAAAAACAAATCAAAAGAACAAAAAGAAAACAAAATAATAATTGAAAAAAAGCTCAGTTCAAGTAAGTGTTATTTATTATATAGTTTCAAATTTAAATTTCATGCATGTCAATTTTAAATTCTCACAATTTGATTTTCACACACAACATGTCAAGTGGTAATAACTATGGACTATTAAATTCTGATGACAATGACAATGACAATGATGTAACATATCATTATGAATCCAGTTCAGATGACACTGATGATACATCTAATAAAATGAAAAAAAGAAAATATAGATATGAATACTTTGTAGGTCCTGGTGACAAAAAATATTCTTAAATGAATATGAAAATGTAAAACATGTAATGTCCAGAATTTTGGCTCAATTAGATGAGTTGATCTCCAAAAATAATTTAAACTAAAAAACTTTTACATTTTTATATATACATAGTGGATAGTAGGATCAAATAATATTTGAATATTCTAATTGGTTATAGAAAATCCTCAGTTGCCTATGCAGAAAATGATACAATTGATGGTGTTTCTGAAATATTGTGAGTATTAAATTTTTGGGTGTGTTTAAATTTGTGTGTTAAGCATAGCTTATTTATTTTTTAATTTATGGAATTTCAGATTCTTGAATTATATTCTTGCTGGAACCAATAAACATGATGGCATACAACAATATGTTGGTTCTGATCTATTTAATAAAAATATTTAACCAAATAAACACAGAATTTCTTAAACATTATCTTTCACCTGGAGTCTTGAATCTTTGTCATAATCTAGATAGAGTAAGTTTTTTTTTTGAATAATCATATAGAAACACCACAATTTCCTTAATATTAATGGCATTTGTTCAATAAGATTTGTAGAAAAAGTTACCTTGAATGTAGACAATTAATTAAAAAATGGAATAAGGATAATGATAATCCCACAGATGATGAGAATTTAGTCATTGAAGCCTATGATGAATGTAAGTTTTGCAAATATACTTGAATGTGTCATATTATTACCCATTTTGACCAAGTTACACACTTGCTGTGTAAGGTTTCTGGCCGAAACTGCTTCTATTAGTAGCCGAAATTGCCCAAATACTTTGGGCAAAAATTATTTTTTTATA